CAGCCGTGATCCGTCCTTTGTTGGCTCATCTCCATTCCCTTGTCTTCAAGCCCAAAGCACTGTTCTTCATGAGCTGCAACCCCTTGGGCTTGAAATATGGAAGACGTGATGTTCTAAACTACCATGGAGCAAAATCACACCTAGGTTATTCAACCTCAGAGACAGGCATTGAGTGAATGACCGAGGCAGTCTTATGCACATACTTGAGTAGAAGAAGATGTGAAGAGAGAGAGCTGTCGAAGGCATGGGAGAATGAGATGATTCATAGCCCCATTTTTGGAAGAGGGGATAAACTAAGACCAAGGGATTATGTCCACTTTTCCATGGTCATAGGATTGAAGTTGCCATCCAGGGTTAGACACTGCCAGGGTCCTCTCCCTTGTGCTGCAGGAAATGGGGGGAGTGAGAGATGGTCACATCCCAGGTCTTGGGTGAGGTCCTGGGACAGGCCTCCAAGTGAGGGTCCTTGGGTTCTTGCATAAAAGAGTTCCAAGAACGAGCCGTGGTAGTGCACAAGTAGGTTTATTTAGAGAGATACACACTCCACAGGCAGAATGTATCCATCTCAGAAGACAAGAGCAGCCCCAGGGGTGTGGGGGTGGTTGGGGTTTATGGGCGGGGCAATTTCATATGGTAACAAGTGAGAGGATTATTCCAACCATTTGGGGGAAGGGGTTGGGATTTCCAGGAATTGGGCCACGATCCACTTTTTGGCCTTTTATGGTCAGCCTCAGAACTGTCATGGTGCCTGTGGGTATGTAATTTAGCAGCTGATATATATTACAGGGAGCGTGTAATTAGTCTTAAGGTCCACTGGAAGTCAAACCCTCCACCAACTTGGGCCTAGTTGGTTTTATCCGGTTTTTGTCCTAGCCTTGAGGGCTGTATCATTCTGTTAGCAGTGTGCCCGGCCCCCTTCCCTCCTGTCTCCCTTCCACTATCTACTCGAAAGGATCTGAGCTGGATATGTCAGTCATTGTGTATCTGTGGCTCTAAATGTGTAACCACATCTTCTGCTCAACCATAAAGGAGTGTCTCAGGATGCGTCATATATTAAATTCTTTATAAACCTTAAGTGCCTAATGAGATTCCATTTAAAGGGGAGGGATTCAAAATGGTACATGATGTCAGGCTAGGTCTGAGTGAAGTAAGGATGTCCCGGTCCTGGTGTTCCAGGTCGAGAAATGTCTCATCCAAGGACTTCTGTTGAAGACTCTCACCTGTAAGTTTTGGGAGCCATATGCAGTCTTGCA